AACTCATCGTTAAGTAGCAATAATCTAACGATACCACAAATTGTAGAAACAATTACCTATTTCTTGACCTATTTAAAGGTAGTAGCTGCGGAGCCTCTGGCTGCCAGATATTCCAGAACACGGATCCAAGGGGTAGAACATTTTAGTCATTTAGGACTTCTATCTCACTAAAAATTTCCGCAAAATCAGCAGTTGTGTCACCTATTCATACGGTTTAACTAGTCCTTTGTTACTGGAGGTCGACAAGCCCTTTTTGCGTTTATCTCACTAATTTCCAAAAATTTAATTAGTTGCTGTGCGCCGCGTCTACAACGGCAAAGCGTCAACGCGTTGTGATCCGTGTGTTTGCCATTTGCCGCTGCCGTTTTAAACAGCAAAAGTTCAGGATCAGAGCGTCGAGCGGCGAATTTTCAATTTCCGGCACGTTGTGTTTGGTAATTCGGCGGCTAGCAAGTTCATTTTGCCGGCCCGGACAGAATTTCAACAAGCCTGCCACTCATACGCACACTTGTCGTATGTGAGCATGGCGGTGATATCTCTGGGAAATACGAGAATTACCAAACGGTCCCTGTTTAGGGTATTAGTTTTGGCAATTCCGACTAAAACACGTTGGAACTGCTATTTGGTGAAAAATTCATTTGTGTTGAGGCTACTAACACACATATCATAACAACCGACTTTTTTCAAATATAGTCACCGTAATTCGCCAAGTTTGGTAGCTGTTGATAAAATATGGCGTCAAGTAGGTTGTCTTTGCACTTCACATGCAACGCCGGCATCAGTTCATAAAAAATTATATTCAGTACAGTCCTCAGAACAAAGTTAGTTAGGAACGTGTATTGTATACCAGAGAGATTAAGCGGATCGACCAAGTCAAACAGGCTTGCACAATTAGTACATACGAGAAACTACCCAAAAATAACCGGAAAGGCATTGCAGTGGGCGGAGCTTGTGTAGTACATATTTCTGCCCCTAGATTTGGGAATGAAAAGGGTTGTTGCCAAGTTGAAACATGTCGTACTTTGAAACATCAGCTTGAATCTGATCCAGATTTTTTGTCAAAGACCATCACTGGAGACAGAAACGGAGCAGCAGTCCAGTTAATAGAAGACGCCATCGTCACCTCGTCCAAAAAAAATGTCGTCAAGTCAAATTAGACATCAAAACAATGCAGATTTGTTTTTTTGAAGTCGAAGGCGTAATCCATTTGTTCCCCCAGGATACACTGTCAATCAGACCTTTTATTTAGAGGTTTTAAGACGAATGCGAAACAGTGTTCGGCATAAAAGACCCGATTTGTGGCAGTCAGGAGACTGGTTCATCCACCACGATAATGCACCTGCGCTAACAGCAATCTCTGTTTGACAGTTTCTGGCTGAAAAAGGCATAGTGCCGCTGCCTCACGCACCTTATTCGCCTGAGCTGGCTCCGTGCGACTTTTTCTTATTTCCACGGATAAAAACGGGCATGAAAGGACGTCGCTTTGACGATATTGAAGGGGTCAAGAAACAAACGAGGGAGGAGCTGTCAGACTTTTCTAAGGAAGACTTCAAAAAACGTTTCGAGCAGTGGAAGCACCGGTGGGACAAGTGTGTTAGCTGTAGTGGACAGTATTTTGAAGGAGTTAGGGTTACTTTGTGAAAAAGTTGAAAATAAGTAGCTTTTAAAAAATAATTCCGGTTTTTCTTGGTGCCACCTCGTATATATATATATATATATTTTTTTTTTTGAGACGTGGTCATTGTCGTCTAGACCAGTCAGGTGAAAAATTAAAGCTTCCGCCTTTTTTTTGGGTACTTCGACAAAAATTTTAAGCAAGGAGGACTCTTTATACTTTTTTATTTTCTCTAGCTTTCAATAGACTTTGCCATCATCATCAGGAGCTGCAAATACATTGAAAACAGTAGCAACAATAGTGTAAAATGAATTTAAATCAACTTAACTTACAGTAGTATGTGAGGATGTTGCTAATTGTTGTTTACGTTCAGGATGAGGGAAACACCCAGTAACATGGTGAAAGCTGGATAAATGGTACAATGGTCAAAATTATATAAAATACACACAGCTGTGTGACAAGAACAAGTTAAAAACAGATTAAAAATTTTTAGAACATGAAAGCATTACATCGTGAAGCCACTTCATTTTGTGCAATCATCAAGTGAAATTATTCCCGATTGCAATATTTCTTTCGCCAGAGGCAAGTAAAAATAACTAATAAGTTAAAAATAATTTCATTTCCATTCACCTTTAAACCTCCGTCATCCCAAGTTTTTAAGTCAAAATGTGTTATATATCAACAACAAGAAGGCAAAATGTTAATGCTTTTCAAGAGAACTTTTTTTGAAATCGTTAATTTCAAATACATCATATCGACCCTCCCAAAAATGTCCACCCCTGACAAATGACCGCCCATGTCCACTTATAACTTGAGCTTTTCTGTGGTCCTAAGGCTTACCATATGAAAAAGATTATATTCTATTCTTATTGCGTGAATGATATATTTTCTTTGTGGTGAGCCCTTGGAGCATTTCTAGTACGTCAACAGGACAATAAACGAAATGATTCCAGTATTTTGTTGGGGACATCCATCGAGCACAAATCGATGTGATGGCGCTAGCTGTTTCAATATTTTTCTATACCGCTGCGGCGTTATTATCTGTTATCGGAGAAGAATTTACCGAATTAAAGAAAATAGAGAACGAGCGAGGGAGAGAACAGAAAATATTGTATATATAGAGAAGGGCGTTCAATCTAGCAAAATGCCGGGATGAGAGGCAATGAGCAAATCGCTTGATGAAAAATACGCCCGGAGCTCTGAAAAAGAACATTGCCGTCCACTCGCGTTTTATTCACTTTGTTGAACATAAGGGGGATTAGTTATAGTCCAAGGGAAAGAATGGACATTCTGTTCATTTCGATTTTATGTTGTCTTCTCCACTCATTCATGGCGGTTTGTTATGGATAATTTGTAATCACGTGGTGTATGCTAACACTTATATATCGCCACCCAAAAATCACAGATGTAGAAAACCACTTACGCCTTCTGGCCAAACTGAAAGACAAAATAAGATGTCGTCCACCACCACAGAGTAGAAAACCCACCAATAAGAAGGGATACCAAGTGTCCACCGTGCTATCAGCAGATATATTCAATGCAAAGTTTGCATAAACACAGTCTGAACTGGATCTGTGTGCTCTTCATCTTTATAACCACGACTAACCGGGCACAGTGTTGCCGAACCGAAAAATATGAAAGCGCTAGATTGTGTCGTTGAAATTCGGTAGACTCAAGGACAAAATCAGAGAATAAAAATCAGGGTCGTCTCAAGATCAGCGGTGGATCAAGGACCTTTACGTCACGCAGCACCGTCTACTGTATTTGTACTTGTACGCATAAAAATCAATACAGGAAAAGTGGAGTAAGGGATGTGCATATTCATTGAGAACCAAATTTGTCTGACTTTCGTTAAATATGTACGAGAGAGAAGTGTATATAGACACATATATTAGAAAGAGATAGAAACCGGCTGGATAGCAAAGCTTATTAATTCGTTGCCTAGCTGCGCTATCGCGGCAATCTGCCGCGTTGGCAATATGTTACACCAGTTCCTTGAATTGAATTAAGATGCATGTTGAAAATATGCGTTAGTTTATTCTCTACGCCCAAATAATGGTTTTATGTTGAGCGTATGCATTTCTGACTTTCGAATTGAATCTGTTTAGGATTGATTGCGGATCGGTTCTAACGGCGCTCCATTTTAGGTCGAAATGAAAGGTCAGGTTCGTTACAAATTCTGCAGAATTGCGCTTGGCAACACCGCATCTCGTACATTCCAAGGCAAGGTGAGCGATTTTGGTCAGTAACTCAGTACCATCTGGAGCTCTTTGGGAAGTTTAGTCCAAAATGGAAACAAAATACTAAATTAAACGTTCGGACAGACCTCCTTGTTGTGTTTGACAGTAACTTAACCTATTGCAGAAGCCTAAGCGAACATTTTCTGGAGTAACATATTGGTAATGCGACAGATTGAACGACCTTCTGCGTCACCATTGCTAGGCAATGTGGTGATGACATTGGCTCTTCAGCCGGCTTCTATCTCTTTCTAAAATGTGCTGATACACACTTCTCGTGCTTCTCTATCGTGTACATTGAACTCAAGCCATCAGACAAATTTGGTTTTCCCTGTATCATCATAGGCAACCCAAATCTACATCCGCCGTGTGCCCGACTGCCTAAGTGTACGCATATATATATGATAAGATTGGGGCATAATACTTATTTAAAATACACACAAGGCATTTTCTTCAGTCTGGAGAAAAGGCCTATAACGTACTGATGATTGGTAACAAGCATGGAACGGCGGAACCGCCCTGTATAGGGCACTGATAGCAGCTGTCCCGTAATTTCGATCCGGAAAATGTTTTAGACGAAAAGCGAGATAACCGAGTTATTTACTATGGAAACTGACCCAGGGGGGTCATGAAATGGCGCTTCCACCATGGCAATGGAGATGGAGTCGAATGAGCAGACCATAGAGGAGCTGAGAGCCGAATTGGAGATGGTTCGACAGGAGCTGTCAAAAAAGGACGATGATAAGAAGACCAATGAAAGATTGATGATGATCATCGAAGCCCAGCAGTGGACAATTACCGACCTAACAGTTAAATTAGACATCCTACTGAAAACCCAGGTACCTTCCCATCTAAATATTACAAATTCTTCCCAAACACTTCCCAAAAATCCCAGTAAAGACAAAGCTGTCAATCTTAAGAGACCGTTAAATAATTCAAGCGATCTTTCCACAGACGACGATACACTCTCTGACGGTTTTACCAAGGTTAAGCCCCGTAAAACGCGACGAAACAAGACCGACACGACAGGCTTTCCTCCTCTCCCTCCACCAAAATCGCAGTCTGAAACGTCTCATTCCACTGCAAGCGACTCGAATAAACAGCCTGTGCCTAATCTATCGGTTACTTCCACGCCTTCGACATCTCAGGTACCAGAAGACACGACTGCACAGCCCCTACGCAAGGTACGTGTTACCCCCATCGTTCTTCGCGATGCTTCGAGATGGCGAGGCGTAAATCACAAGTTTATTTCTTTGGGCATCAAATTCGAACGCGCGGTTGCCGTCGATGCAGGAATCAGGATAATTCCCAAGTCCGAGGATGATTACCGCAGGATTATTCGTCTCTTCAGGGAGGAAGAGGTGCCCCATCACACTTTCCCTCTATCTACCCTCCGAGAGGAACATTCATGCTGTAATCAGAGGAGTACATGCGACACTTTCGGAAATTGAGATCAAGGAAGAGTTGCAACAGAGGGGATATTCCCCCCTCCACATAATTCGCCTGAAACGCGGTGGCGGCGTGCCCATGCCTTTGGTGGTAGTCATACTGCCCAAGATAGAAAAATCTCAGCAGCTGTTCAACGAACACGAGCTGCTAGGTTTGGCTATCCGAGTCGAAGTTCAAAAGAACTCAAGACTCATCGGGCAGTGTCACCGCTGCCAAAAATATGGGCATGCGCAATTTTACTGCACTGCACCACCTAAATGTCTAAAATGTGCTTCTGACCACATGACCCACTTATGCCCTCAAACAGAACAAGAGGAACGAAAGTGCGCGACCTGTGGAGGGGGGCGAATAGCCGAACTTGCAGATTTGCCCCTAAGAAAAATCTGCAAGTGATAGCGCAAAGGCGCAATGTAAGTTACGCGGATGCAGCTAGGGATGCAACCCGGGCTGCCCCTTCTGTGGGATCTTCTGCGAACAAGCAAAATGTGGACCTGGCAACCGCGCTAAGGTCCTTACAGCAGATCATAGGTCCTCTGATTAGCGCAACACAGGCTTTGCAGGCGGTCTTTCCTGCAAATGGCTAGGTACAATCGACGACAACCTGCATTTATCAAAATTCTTTTTTGGAATTGTTTGGGTCTAAGGGACATTCCCAAAAGACGGGAATTTCATCAAGCTCTTGTGGACGAAAGTATAGATGTGGCCTTGCTGCAGGAAACATTACTTAATCCGGGAGATCGTCTAGCTTTCCCGAATTACGATGTTATCCGAGCTGATAGATTGACTGGACGGGGTGGCGGCTTGGCAGTGCTAGTGAAACGCGGTATTGACTACCACAGAAGCACAAACGCTGACATGCAGAGCATCGAAGCGGCTTCCGTGGTGGTCAATATGACGGGAGGTGTGCCGTTAAAAATCACATCGGTGTATGTCAGGTGTGGTAACAGGCTGCAAGAGGCGGACCTGGAAGTCCTTTTAGACTACTCGGGTCCACTTATTGTGGCAGGGGACTTCAACTGCAAACATCAAGCATGGCATTCCAGGTTGAATTCCACCAGTGGGATCCGACTGTACAACCATGTGATACGAAATGGCTACCTCATACATAGTACTGAGGAGCCGACGCACCACCCATTTAATCACCTTCAGGCACCTGATGCTCTTGATTTGGCATTATCCAAAAACTGTAGCTACAGTATCACTTCTCGAATCATGTATGACATCTCAAGCGATCATCTTCCCGTCGTTTTGGAAGTGGCTAATGAGCAGATCTTGGGGGATGAAATCCCTCCAAGGAAACGCATTGATTGGGAGCTATACAAGTCGCTCCTCAAAGAGTTTCCCCATATACCGATCATAGTTGATGAGAACGGTATACGAGTAGATGCGGCTCAAGCAGAGTGGACAAGTTTTGTTCAGCAAACTCTGCAGCGTGCAGCTGTACTTCCCGTGCAGCGACACGGCAGACCTTTTCTGCCAGCAGACATTCGTCAGAAAATTTCTGATAAAAGAGCTGCAATTAAGCAAGCGAAAAGGTCTTGTCATCCCGATGACTCAAGCATTCCTCTCTGGAAGGTGGCGAAGTCGCTCAAAAACGGAAAGCGTGAACAAATCCCACACATTCACGGAACCATATGGAAGCGCTAAAAACTAAGTTCCAAATTACGTTTCGGCAGCTTTACCCATTATTATGTAATCGGTCAAAATTAAGTTTGATTAACAAGATTCGACTCTATAAGGTGGTCATAAGACCAGCAATGACTTACGCATGTGCGGCTTGGTGTTTTATTGCTAAAACACACATGCGAAGTCTGCAGGTTCTGCAAAGCAGGACGTTGCGCACTATTGCTGATGCCCCATGGTATGTCTCTAACGAAACTCTACATAGAGACCTCGATGTCCCTTACCTAAAGGACTACATTAAGCAACAGGCGCAGCGGCGCTATAGCCTAGCGATATAGCACAGCAACCCTCTGTTGCGTGAGTCAGTGGACTACACAGTCGAGCAAGTTCGCAAGCACAAAAGGCTGCGGCTCGCACTGTAATCAAAATTAACTCGTGAACTTAGAACAACCAAAATTGGAGCATTTTTACACAATCTTTAGAAAAAATCAAATATTTTTAGACCATATCAAAATCTGTGAAGCGATTTTAACAATGCCTAAACGCTGCCTATCCTAAAAGAGTCTCTTCTTCCCCTTTGCTCTCGTTCTTCCTTCTCTCCTTTCCTTCCCCTTTTTTCCTTAAAATTGTCTGGTTTCTGGGTTACCAGACCTGACAGACTTACAAACTGACACTGTGACTCACGAGCTAAGGTCCCACGGACCGCTCTGACAACCAACGATGACGATGACTTGAAGCATGGAACGGCGCTGTACATGAATCATTGTCACATAGATGGAAAGCAAATATTTTCTGTTGCTTTAAATCTAGATAACATATCGCACTGTATGCAACAGATGGTTTGTCATACTACTAACATCGTCTTTACAATGACGTGTTGATCAAACTACACGAACACTATGCTGGGGCATGTTGTTAATGTTAGAACTATTCTATAGCATCCAACGTTACATCACATTGTCGCTACCATTGGACCAGCTGATCCATCATTTTGTTATAAACCGAAAAATCGCAAATAAGTTGTTGGAAATACCAATAATAAATAGACGCGGACTTTATATACCATGTTTTCAATCTTAGAGTGCGGTACAGAATGTGCCACAGTACTCCCAATGCCACTCATAATTGCGTACCTTTATCGTTGATTTTTATTATAGACCAGGATATGGGTAACTTTTTCCTACAATTTTGGCGACAGTAATGTTTTCAATATATTATTAGATTACTGCCTCCTAAAGATGAGTTCAAATTCGCATCATGATAGAGGTGGGCATTTGCTGTCATTTTGAAAAACGCATTTGTCCGAAAATCTCGAAAACCATTGATCCTATGTAAAATAGTAATAGACACAATTTTGTAGGAAAATAAATCCTTTATCATTTGCCTTATAGTTACAGGTTAGAAGGAATTTAAAGGCAATCGTATAAAGACTACTGTCCTTATTTGCAGAGAATAAAATTTTCTACAAGAAAGGCTTTTACGTTTTGTCGATACCTTAATAATTCTTCATGTATCAGGAGCGCAAGTCAAAAATTGGTATTAAAACAGTCACGCGGCGTACTCCTTTCTCTACAGTATATTCAGATAAGAGATAGACCGGATGCAAACAAAAGGTTCGGGTGATTTTCACGCTAACGCCGCCGTCTCGACGTAAAACAGGAGCCCTCATTGGTCAATTCGCAATTAAATGCCTATGCCGAGCGGCAGAGCAGTCGTATCAAGGCAGAGTCACATTCAGGTTCAGACGTGTTACGTATGTCGTGTGCATCATTGCAATTTGATATTTCTTTGGACGTTTTCGTTTGTTATCTTATTAAGTTGTTGAGTTTGTCGTTGTTATTGTTATACCTTGTTATTGATTGTTATTGTTATCAACTGCTTGCGCAAAATGCCCAGTAGTACAGATACTGCCGGTGAAGTTGTAAACTCCTGTAGTCCACCTAGGAAACGCTCTAAAAAAAGACACCTGACTGCAGAAATGAAAGAGGTCATTTTGAATATACGAGTATATAAGATCGAGCGCGAGGAGAACGAGGCATCAACCATCAAAGAAATTGTTGTGAAGGTTTCTCACAAAGTTGGGGTGTGTCGCGCATCAGTGTTTAATATGTTAAGACAATACAAAAAAAATCACACCTTTTCTGAGCCAATGACCAGTAAACATCGCAAAAGTATTGTTAAATCATTGGATGAAGCTGATAAGCATGCGATTAGGAGGAAAGTGCATGAATTCTTCTTTAGGAATGAAATACCTACTATAGATAAAGTACTGCAGGAGGTAAATGGAGATACACCGTTGCCAAATTTCAAACGATCAACTTTCCATGCGTTACTGAAGCATTTAAATTTCAAATGGAAAAAACGGGGTCGTAATAGTTTACTACTGGATAGAGAAGAAATTGTGCTATGGAGGAGGGATTATTTAACAAAAATTGGGAAATATAGAAATCAAAACAGGAAGATTTATTACCTTGATGAAACGTGGGTAAACGCAGGACACACTACAAGTAAAGTATGGGTTGATGATTCTGTAACTTCATCCAGGAGGGCCTTTCTAGATGGACTGTCCACCGGATTAAAAAATCCAGCAGGTAAATACGAGTAATAGACAACAATCGGATGTTTTTCAAACCTTGGGAACAAGGTTCTAAACATTAATTCCAGGGGGCAGATAAAACATATTACAAGTAACAAAACTTTTATAACTTTCGATAAAATGCGTGGATGTTTCATTGTCATTTTCATTTGTTTGAACTTTTTTAAGCCATGTTTTTATGTGTTTTCGATATTTCAATAATTTTTTAATATAATCTTAAAATATGTCGAATATTATAAACTTAAAAAAAGTTACTAAGTTTTATATTGTGTACCGTTCCTAATATTTCTAATCATTTTAATTCATACTTTAAGCTTTATAAAGTTATAATTTGTTAATATTAATATTTGCGCGTATTTCAGGTTCCTGATCATTCATTTTTTAAAGGTTTATAACTTTAAATTAAATTGTGAAGCGCTGAGTAATCATACGACGTTCAATATTCTTTCTTTTAATATGACTAAATAATCCCAATTATAGCAATCTGATACTCATGTCTCAATGTTTTTTCGCTGAATATGATGAAAACATTTGAAAAAGGTTCGCTTATTGAAATACATCTACACCAGTTAGTACTTCGATTTCCAGGTAAAGGGAAAAGGCTCATTATCTGCCATATTGGCAGTGAGGATGGATTTGTTGTTGACGGTCTGTGGTGCTTTGAGTCTAAGAAAACTGGAGATTACCACGAGAAAATGAATGGCGAATCATTTGAACAGTGGTTTTCAAAAATTTTACCGAACTTAGAGGAAAACGCAGTAATTGTGTTGGATAATGCGCCTT